TGTTAATTCCAGCAATATGCAGAGGAAGAACCAGCGATGGTGCTTCTAGTATGTGGTGGTGCTAATTAACTTGCTGGTGTGGGCTATGGAATGATCTTTCTTCCTTGTCCTTTTGGATCTGGAAAAGGTTGCTGGGAAGTGGGAACCAGCCTGCATCCCGGAGTTCATCAAGCTCCTGTTGGGTCCAGATCACAAGGGAGGGTGCTCCTTGCCATATGTTTGTTCGTTGTGTGAGACTATGAGCATCTTTTTCATGTAACCAGCCAGTGAAACAGTTCATCAAAGAATGACCTGAGGAGTTCATGGCCTCTCTCCTCCTGTAAACTTTTTTTTGACAGAGCGAATATATTAATATTGCGAAGATACCAACAACACCCAACGTCTGTACCAATAAGATGACAAAGACATCAAGGATACACACAACCAAAAAAGAAAAGAAAAAAGACCCTACCACAGTGATGAATAATCACTAGCATCATCAACACTCTAAGCACCACACAATACAACACACGGAATACAAAAGAGGTTCTCCAAAAGCAACACCTCCAAAAAGAAAACAATGCACAAGCGTTGTCGTTGCCCGATCAAAGATATTGAGTTTTTACCCTGAAGAAAGTCCGAGTTCACCCAAAAAAACAATGCCTTCAGCCTTCAACAAGGTCATTGCCAGTTACAACCAATAAAGGCCAGACCTTGAATTTTCACCCTGATAATCGAGACTCGGTACTCGAGGAGCACGACCAAAAATGCAGCCCCCCAGTGTTAGCCGCCCCCGCTTGCCGAGGCCGCAGTTGCAAGTCACCATACACCTGGCACATAGTCTTCATCGCATCCAATACATCCTTCCGCCAAAGCTACAAGACCTTCAATCACAACCACCATGACTTTCTTCACCTCTACCAATGCCTTGAGAATCTCGACTTAGACTTGTCTCATGGCACCGATAAGAAAGTGAAGCTTTGCGACGCGCCCACTTGAAGCCGTGTTGGCTGATAATATGTGCGCACGCGACCGGAGTCTTTCCGATCTAGATATCCAGGGGCAAATAAGCCAATCCGTATAGATCTCCGATGGGGAAGACCGAAACTCGTCAGCAGCCAGATCCAAGAGGTTGACATGCGACAGAAAGACGACTTGGCGGAAGAAGAGTGCTAGGGCCAAACCACCAATATTAGGCCGAAGCCAGCAGCCCCCACGCCGCCCTCCTCTCGATCCAGACCTGGCCTCTCGGCGCCGCCGACCCACGCCGTTGCACGCCAGAGAACACCATAGCCCCATCGCCGCCGCCCCGCAGATCCAACCGCCGCCACCCGCGGGCCATGGCCACACACGGGAGCACGCCCAAGGGAGGAGAG